AAAAATATGTACAACAGGATCCCATCTTAAACTGCTGAAGGAGAGAGGTCCAGACCTGGAACTGGGCCCTGTTTTGGTCCAGACGGGTCAAGCAGGAGAAATTGGCAGGAGGGATGGACGGCGCACAGGTCTTGGTGATCAGGCAGTTGGTGTTTGCTGGGTTGCCAACCACAAGGATCTGAAAGGAAAACCCCCGCACAGAGTGATTTGCCAATATGCATGGAGGGAATTTTCTTAATGTTACATAACTGAATTGCCTCGATTTAAGTGTAAGCAAGGTATATAGCAACTATAATACTAACTATCAATTATAAAAGCAGTGTCGCATCTAGCCACCTGTCCTGAACATAGGTAAAATTATCCAGCACAGGCAGTTTTTGCTTTAACAGAAACCATAAACTCCATTTACTTCACAAATCTTTAATCACTAGTGAACACATGTAAATATAACACTTCCATCCAAAACCCTCCCTACAATGGAAATCTGGGCTCAGATAGCACCAGGGGATATCAGGTTCAAAACTTTTGCTTGGAGTGGACGGGCAGTTTTTAACACTGCATAGGACAGGCAGGTCTTTAACCCTGGATGAAACCCTGTACACAAGGAGCACAGGATGTGCATGACACCAGTCAAATTCTTACGTCAAGAAATTTCAACTCTTCAACCCTGCCTGGTTTCAACTAGCAAAAACCCAAACAGAATGTACAGAGCTACATATTTGCCGAAATAAAGAAGGCTTTTCCATGATGTACATACGTGCAAATCAGAATTTGACATATAATGATGTCATTGGCAGTTTTCAAGATGTGAGAAGTGACACACCATAATAAAGGTGACACCACAGGTTCCTTGATTTTACAGGAAATTCTGTAGACATGCACAACATGTGTCGAGCATGCAACACTGTAATAACAGCTTGAAAGTTTGCGGCCACTGTTACTGCAGCATGTCCAAGGTTAAAAGTATTTATTTGGAGCACTGTACACAAAGGAAATCTGTAACTGTAAGAAGGCAATACCAATTCATGTTGAATGCTCTACCAGTGAGGATGGATCAAGGTTCATCACATTACACGAGTACGATGGCATATGCAGGGCTAGGGTCCCCTCTGGTCTTTTGTATTGCTATGTTTTCATGAACCCAAATCCACCGCTGTACCGTCAAGCGGTCAAGGATCATCAACTGGTGCGCACCTTCACAGTCTTCTTGGCGACCTGGTCAATGACCTTGCCCTGGCCCTCAAAGATCCTGGCATTAGCCTTGAGGAGGTCTTTGCGCTCCATTCCTTCCTTGCGCGGCATGGCTCCAACCAAGATGGCCGCATCCACATCCTTGAAAGCCACGGAATAATCGTCAGTGGCCACAACATCTGTGATGGAAGAAGGAACACATGGACATAAAAACAAGATGAAAATGCCGGAGGTGTCTCATGAAATCATCTCAGGATCTGGTGGATAAAAATTTTATTTGATTCCGTTTTATTCCAACCAGAAATGCATTTATCCATAAAAGTTATGCATTAACGTGTCCTCAGAGAGGACACAAGGGCAGGCTTGAGTAAACCTTTTGAGCATTCGTTGTAACTACATTAACCCTCCTATGGTTTTACANCAGTCCTCTTCACTGCATTTGGTTTACTGCACAGTTATGCACATGAAACAGTGAAGCACAGTTGTTGGGCAGCACAAAAGTGTAATCTGATATTCCTGTGAGGGTCTGTTGGTGCAGTGCACAACACAACACAGCTGTGCTTCTTTGAGGTGTTTACCAAGTGACCCAAAGAGTGACTTCAGCATAGGAAGGATTAAAATAACAAAAACAGCCTCTGAGACACCATGGAGATGCCAGCAACGCATAACCTCCGTTATCACCACCAATTTTAGGTATCTCCTTCACTCCTTCAAGTTAAAGTCAACAGATGGAGCCTCTCCAGGCATGTACAAATCACAGGCTAATAACAAAAGGTACTTAAATTGTTTTGTTTTTGCACGGTAGACTTCGCAATACTTCCTCATTGAGAAAAAGTGAGAGCCACGGGCCGACAGCCACCACACATCGACTTTGAATACAGGTTTGATCAGCTTCCAGTGAACATGAGTTGCAGATATTCAGACGTCATATGCACACAAATTTGTGAACACACGCAGTGTATCCATACATGTTAGTAGAACCTATATTCAAGCAAATCAATGCCATCCCAAGTCAAGTGGTTATGCTGCTGTTACATGACAGATATCACTGCATTTTAGCCCAGGTGGAACAATTATTGCTCTCAATCTGCCAACAAGCAGATTAACTGATCACTAGTGATTAAAATGCTGTGAGTTTTCACTGGGCATCCTAAGAAAAGCACATTAACCATGTGCTCATATTTCTGTAAGCACTCTTCTCTTCGTCGCGGGACTAAACAAATATACTCGTCACTCACCAGTAATATCTTAAATCTTAACACCTCAACCAGAGATTCTATGTTTTGATTGGCAGAGGGTAAATCACATGACAATTGTTTCTTACTACCTTACTGTGCGAGCTGAAAGTACAAAACCCATAGCAACTAAAGTTAAATATGCATAACAACCAGCACTTTGTACAAATGCACACGAGCGTGTACGCTGCTCACATTCTGAAGTACTTGCATCACAGAGCCGAATTAAAACATTTCATGAAGAGGTAGTTTGGGAAAGTGCTAAAACTTGGAAAACAACTTCAACAAATTTTTAATCAAAACAGAATTTTTAATTGTATTTAGATTAAATTAATCAATTATTGCTAAAATCAACCTGAACCTCTTAGACAGCTATTACAAAATGAATACTGACTCTATTATCAAACCCGTGGTGTAGTGAAACTGGCCTTCCTTGGGGCATTACGGATTGTCTTGAGAAGCCAGGTTTAATACATCACTCAAGAGTCAATATTTGTATACTATTCCAATGACAGAATTTAAAGGCATTTGTCCCACTTCCAACATAGAAGGAATGGAGCGTCAACTTGAAGTACGTACTCTTGAGGAGTGGCAGAGAGCAGTCGCTGAGTTCCATGACCACACCTTCCACGATGCCCATCATCGGTGGGATGTCCAACAGCAACAGTTCCAGAGACTGCCAAACCAAACAATCGCTCAACATTCAGTGAGCACAGCAATCAAAACAAACGCAATAAGATGTTAACATTAAAGAGCCCACTAACATGGTGTAATTTAATCACTCCCTTTCTAAGAGAGTTGGACCCAAGGTGCTTCCACAAGTATGTCTAATGACGTCAAGTGCAATAAATGTATGTACATGTCCACGTATGAATGTCCAGGTATGAAATAAATTTAAGTTCCAATCCTCAAACCACATTACATTGTACTGAATTGGTACACTGTATTGTTAAAAACTATAGCCTCATGTAAATCATTTTGAAAATTGAAGTGTGAAATTTTGTCAGATTTCTTTTTCTCCTGATCAGAATTCTCCTCAGGTGCAGAAAGTATTCCTAATTGGATAGGATTTCTAGCTGCTCATGTGAAGGACACCAGGGCCATTGTCACAGAACAGATCACATGAAAATACACATTTATCCAAGAACCACTCCCTCTAGTTAGAAACTACTGGCGAATAGGGTCCTACCTCAGCATGAATGTGCAAAACAGACCAAGGAATGTTCCAACTTAAGAGGCAGTTTTTAAGCCGCACTTGCTTGTCTTCAACCCATCATCTGAGGTCTCTTCAAAAACAATGCTTGAACATTTCTTATCAGGTTGAACTGACGACAAATATCTACCTGGTCGGGTCCGAACACATCTCCCTTGGCAATGGAGTAGAGGAGAGAGTAGGCAATTTGTCCTGCAGCACCAGTGACACAAACACGAAGAGGTTGAGCCTAAGGAGGATAGAGAGGAAAGGTGGCCATTCTGTAAATTTGAAGTCTGAAGTATGGTGATTTATAAGCAATTTATTTTTCAACTTTTAAATAAGGGGGGTGGAATAAATCCCCCTACATTTTTTCATGCTAAGCATTCAGGTTTTTTTTACCAATGTCTCGCAGTTATTTCAAAACTGATTTATAAAAAACACACACACAGTTTTTGAGACATCCCTTTTTGACAGGTAGGCAAAAGGTTAACTTTTCCCACTGGCATGTCAAATGCAGTACCAACTCCCCTCCCTCCTTCGTTTGTACGTTATGGACGGCCCCTCGGATGCCACTTGACACTCTGTGTACAAACCTAGTCCAAGTAACTAACACCCTAAGAACTTCCTCTTTTGACAATTGGACATGGTTGGGCAAAGCAAAAAATATTGATTTGAAGTAGGGATATTTTGAGATGTTTTGAGATTTTTTTGTACATGAGTAATGCAGAGCAAACTGTGATTTTTTTTTACACAAAAATAACTTCAAGAACAAGAGCTAAGTACAAACTTGCATAAACACCTGATTGTGCCAACTCACTCTGCCATCACAGCTATTTGTGAAACAAAACTTCATACATGCCAAAATTTCATAAAAGCCATGCTATCACTGATCATTGGAATAGAAGTCAATTGGGCCAATCACACCGTGACTTTTACCTGTGGGTGACAGGAAAGCAAAGAGGAAAAGACAGGAGCTGTGTTTCGATTGGTCAAAAGCTGTCATACAGCTGACAGTGATTGAGAGTACATGCACATGTACCTGATTTTCTGTAGTGTGGATGGGCAAAATGCTCAAAAATCTCACCATTTTAATGAGGATATAATTTGAATAAATCTCCCCATCAGACATCTAACTTCACCAAGAAGGCATATATGAAATTTTATTCCACAAATAGCTGGGATGACAGGGTAAGTTGGCACTATCTGTAAGATTTGTGTAAACCTTACAGTGTAGGAAGTAAACAAAAATGATTTTGATTGTAAAGGAGTTCCCTATGAACGCCAGTAAATATTCCCTACAGTGACCTATCAGCCATCAGAAAGCAATTTAGGAGGGAAAATACCAAGTTGTTAACACCAGTGACGTACACACGAAAAATTTACACAGTACAGATACAGCTACATGTACATGTAGCTCTGTGGAGATATCACGTACGTGCTGCAAGCACAATACTGGTTCCCCACCGTGCCACTGACAAATTAATAACAAGACTAGACGGGTTAGGAGCCAGACTACACCTCCGGATTGTGCACAGCCGCGATAGCATGGCTGGCAGCACGGTACATGTAGTTGCCCGAACCTTTCAAATAGTGTCGCCTCGAAAACTACAAGTTACAACTAACTTGAAACAAAACTTGGTCTTCCTCTCTCTGTAGTTTCTTCTCAAATGCATTTATACCGATGGTTATTTGATATGCTTTGTCATGGTTTACGAGGACGATTTTTGGTAAGACCGTGGCGGTGGTACGTGCATGGTACTGTACCACACAGCCGCCCATCCGCGCACAATCTTGTCGTGTTTTCGTATCCATACTAGGTTCTTTCTCATTGTAGTGTGGAACAGGGCATTTTTCTTTAAATTTTCAGTATTGTTGATCGTTATCATTTTTTTTTGGTAGTGTACGTTCGTTATTTTAAGACCAAACTTTTCGTTATTTTTGGCACAAATATCTAACCAACCTTGCGATATCGATTCCGAGAATAAGTTTGGAATGATGGTAACTTATATTCTTTTCGACAAAGGTTTTAAGACTCAGCATGAAAGTACAAACGATAGTAGGGGCCTACATGTACATGTACACATAGGTGCATTAATTGAATTTTTAAGTAGGCATGGCTGTTTTTGTATACGTAGAATAATCACACATGTTGAGTTAAAACCCCAAGAAACTATTCAGATTGAAGTTTTTCAAAATGAAATGAAAACTGATGTGTACCTTGTAGGCCTGTAAAGCTTGATTTGCAGTTATTTTTCATTGATGCATATTAAAAGAATTTTGTACCATGTAGCTTTTCAAACAAGAAGAAGCACATGTAAAATACAATTGTGCAGTAATGAAATGTGGATCAGATATCCCACAGTTTATTAGACATTTGCCCCTCTTCTTAGCAACAGCACAACAAAAACACAAAGCGAAGCCCCCTCCCAAAAAGTAGAGAAAAAGGGTAGAAGTCAGTCTCAAACCGATAATTGGTTTTTACAATGACTGAATGGGAGTAACGGGAACTTAAAACAAAGCTGATATATTTAATGTCATAAATGTTAAACAGGGCCCTCGGGTGTCAAATAATATCCAGTCTCCCCCCCTCCCCCGCATCTGGCAATTCTGGCAGATGCCCCTATCCTTTTATTTCATCCTTGCTAGAACGCTGGTTAACACTTAGAAAACATAATTTCTCAGACCTGTCTCATAGGGTTTGTGCACAGGGTGTCAAGTGGCTTCCGTGTATGGAAGTCTTTCCTTCGACTGAAAAGTTTAAAATTTACATTTCCATAGAATTTTTGTTCTTGTTTGTGCCTTATTTCAAAGAATTAAATGCTGGCTTTGCTTGAAATTTCAAAAATTTCGGAAATTAATTACAAGAGCGAGAGCCTGCGGAAAAAGACAAATTTTAATCATCCGGTATTCTTGCAAAATGGCAGGTACAGCGCCGGTGAAAACAGCAACCATGCATGGCAACATACGCACACATCAGCCAGTCCGAAGATCGGGTTACACAATCTTTTTTTTTATATTTTTTTTTACGTACACACGCACTCTTTCTTTGCAGTTGCTTTCATCAGCGCGTTGTGGTTGCTACCAGCAACTTTGTGACACTCCCGGATGTCCACGCTGCCCCATTTAAGAAAATGAACTCCCAAATAAACAGTGCCATCGCTCATGCACGTCCCTTCCTGTAGCATTTGATCATGTGTATTTTCAAGAGGCGGGGTAGGCCTATTCATAATCATATTCTGTGATTAGGTAGGCCTACTCCAAACTAGCCAGGTAGCACACAGCACCCCCCAAAAAGGGGGAAAAAGACAACACCACAAATACAACACAACGATAAAACGCACAACCACTGAACTTGAGGTTTTGACTGATTATCCAAAAATTGGAAGCCCACGACGCATGCACTACATCATGTACCTGTACATACACTGTACATGTACGTGCACACCACTAGCATGTCGCTTGCCTAAGTCGGCCAAGGGTTAACCTGTTTTCATGCCTGCACTAGGGTGCTTGTGCTACTGCATGCCAGCAGCAGCAGTGTAGGGCAACTGGCCTTATTTGTGCACTACAGTAACAAATTCGTCTGAATTGTTTCTCCAAAATACCTGAGTTTCCCATCTACAAAACAGAATTACATGCACAACACATACCATTTTTAATTAATTTCTTCAGCCGTAAGATTTGACCAAATCGCACAGGACCAGTCCACTTCACCAGAAGACTTATCGCGCGTGATGATGACCTTTCGCATTCATGAGTCGATACCTCGACGTCTAGATAAGACATACTGTTATATTCATATTGTGGTACCCGATCACACATTAATCCAGACCATTCGTGCACCACGTGCACAACGTATGGGGTCACATAAAGTCAGCCGGCTGGTGGGTGGAACAAAGTACAGTTTGTACAAAGGTTGTGAACTCAGTTCAAACTTAACTTTTGTTATTTTGCATGCCAAACGCGCTGAGTGATAACTTTATTGCCCTGAAGTCTCGTATGCCAGAAGCTAGCTTTGTCTTTAGCTTTCCTGTAAGGAGAAAGGCCAAGTCGGAAAATGGCAGTGAATGATGAGGATGAAAAGGTAATGTGAGCCTAGATCAGCATGAATCAATTATAAGGCTGGTTTACAACAGTACAAATGCTTTGTCATTTGTACTGTTGTTTTGTTGACCAGCTACACCAGGGCACTGAGTTATGAATGGGATGTTATTTCACATCCCTCACGCACCCCCAGAACTGTGGGGTCCGACATCCACCCCTCTCGCGTGGGAGCAGGACAGACGTTAGACCCCACATTTCTAGGGTTACGTGAGTCCGTGACCAAGTACTACCAGGTCCCTTATTTCGCCACTTACTGTGAAAACCAATGAGACCTGTGAGTGGGTGGTGAAAGGGATCTGGCAACAATACGGTCACAGATAGTCCGAGCATGGTCCGAGTAACTTGGACATATGGGGCCCTACAGATCACCTTATTTAAATATTTGGACATGGTCGGTTGATAGTACTAGGGTCCAAGTACCTTCCATAGGCTTTTGCTTCCATTAACCCTAACCCCCAAGGGTGTATGTAAAATCGTATTGAAATTGGAGGATTTGACCAACCCGACCATGTCCAAATATTAAAAAAAGGTGATTTGTAGGGTCCAAGTTACTCGGACTAGGTCACAGAGACATTTAGACTAATTGCCCAAATTTCCTGGCACTGCAAGGGCTAAGCACACAATTTTACATTCACGGAGGCTCCTAGTATTTCATGAAGACTGTAAGAGGTAACCATAGCAATTCTAGTGGTATTGGAAAATTCATTACATGCACTTTTTCCAGGCTGACTGAATGCTAAGCTAAGCTGCTTCAATTTTAAAGTTCAAGATCAACATTCGATAATCATGTTAGGCTATTTGTGACGTGAAATGTATGTCTCAAAATACCCATTGGCTATTTTACAGGAAGTCTTGCGTCCCCTGTGAACATGATTTGTGTTACAGTCGTGCTGGTTTTTAATTTTACAATGAAAAAAGATATGTTTATATAGTATGAATAGGTGAGGTTGCAATTTGACAAATGAAGTAACAGTATAAGTTACAACACCCAAGTTTACCAAGATGTTGAATCTTTGCCCTGCCAAAAATGTAACAAAAACCAATATGATCCCCTTTGTAAGATTTCACATTTGTGTTTGTACTACATGTAAATTCTGGTTATTCCTTCTTCTGTCCCTAGACATTCTTTTCAAGAATCTCCCATCCATTTCAGACAGTGCCCTGTGCAAGGACAGCCTTCATGTATGGAATACTAGGCGGATTTGGAGTTGGTCTTGTAAACTTTCTAATGACTAGTAAGGACCATCATGATAGACTTGTAAGATTGAAGTTGAATTTTTTAAAGTTTGGAGAGATCTGATCCACAATTTAGTCTGTGTCAGTGATTCAGTATCAGTTCCTCTTGAGGTTGGTACTTTAAGGTACATGTATTTTATTGGTGGAGCTGGATTCTTTTGGAACTAAGAAATATGTTGATTCCAATGTGCTTTCTAGAGACTCACAGAACAAGTTTTACCTTGTCAGTTCACTCATACAGTGTTATACACAAAAGAGTAAAAGCAGTCCTTGAAAATGTCTGCTTGTTTTCATTCAACAGGTCGTGTGAAAAGATCTACAGATATTGGAGTGGTGGTATTCACCACGACAACGCTGCTGACTTTGTAAGTCACTTAAGTTAAAGCATTTGCACATTGTCCTGAGAACCATCAAACTGTACATGTAGCTTAGCATGCGGCTGGAGGGTGTGGGGAAAATAGGAAGCTCAAAGCTTCACAAAACTTGCACTCTTTTTTCAATTTGTGATTCCATGCATGGGAATTGGGAAGTTACAGGAAAACAAGAGGCAGTCAGCTGATCTGAGGAAATGTTGCTTGCCTCCAGTTGTATATGTCTCCAATACACTCCTTGCAATCTGCCTCGTCTTGAAGCACGTTCTGTCCAGTGAAGGAGAGACAGACTGGTGGGGAAACCCATGAGCTCACAGAGTGATTTCCTACCAAAGGACCATTGTTGCAGTGTTCTAGCTAGGACCATTTTAGTGCCGGGTCAATTTTTGTATTGCGAAACGCAGTGAGCGCAGTTCTCAACGCTTTCTGATGCTTGAAATACGAACAAATTGGTACATTTAAATTGTTTTCGGTAATATTTCAGTTCATTTTTTTGGAAAATCCGTGCTGGGCAGCACAGCCAATTTTGACCCTGAGTGCCGGGCAGAACTTTGCAGTACCGGGTGGTGCCGCCCGGCACCGCCCACCGTGGGTAGAACCCCGCGTTGTTGCTATGTAAAAACATGCCATCTGTTCCAGCTTCGTGCAGACATCGCGTGGTTACAAGAGCCAATTTAATTGGCACCCTTCATTGAAAATTAATTTTGTGATGACCTTACACATTTGTCTCCTTCTATTTGCTGATAGTACACAAAAAATAAAGATTCAAATTAAACAAACAAGTTCAGTCTATTTTGCCAAAGTTACCTAAGTTATCTAAAAAATAAATAAAATTGATAGCACTTTGCATACAACCACCAAATACAAGAGGGTACAGTTTCTTGTTTTTGCAAGTTGTCCCTTACAGGCAACAATGTGAAGAAGGAATTTTTATTTACATTTTTCAGCGGATACTGTCGATACAGCAGAGCCAAACTACGCATGTTGCAGAGACGATATGAAGAACTCCAAGGCATAGAACCCACGGAAGTGTCCTGTGGACAACCAGGTGGCCTCAAGTGACTAGCACGTCAATCTTGTGGTAACGTGTGCTAAGCTGGGTTTGACCATTCACCCCGATGAACTCGTTGGAAGACTCACTGTACAGGCAGCTGAGGAAATTTTCAAGAAATGCTACTTGTGACAGAGACATCTTCTTAAGGTGGTGTGGATGACCCTAAGCAAATGCGATGAAGTTGTGGTTGCTGTGACATCTGTGTTGAAGGCCTTCTTCTGTGGCTAGCTCCACAAATTTTCTGAGAAGTGCTTTAACTGTGAATAGAGCAAATAGTGAACTAGTCATGTATAAATTGTGTGACATTTTGCCCGGTATGCCGTTACCTTCTGGTGACGAGTCGGTGTCTGGCTGGTGTGTCTATGCAGTTTCTTATGAGATGGCCTTGAGATGAGTGACAAGTCAAAATGACAATAATTCTATGGTATAGAATTTTGTGACAGCACCCGAAAAAGAAAAAAATCTTCATGTAGGAGATTTAGTGGCAAAAGAAGGTAATAATATAAAATAAGACAAACATATGGATGTTTTTGAAAGATGTCATGTTCATGTATTTTGGAAGTTGGCTTGGCACTGAGAAAAAGGATATTACTGAATCTCTGATGTGGAGATGTCATAAGCATCTGACTTTGAATTCCTAATGTACCTGTGTGTCATTTTTTGCTCATAAAAAAGCAGTATTTTTGGAAAATCTGCGAGCAGAGTGTAATCATGTTCTGTTCTTCTCCATATAGAAATTCCTCTCACCCCACAGTTCATGAGAAAATCCACTAAATACATGTACATGTAGTTTTTGTCAGCAGAGCATAGATGTACGAGGGCTTTGATGCATTTTGCAGTAGACAACCTCATCATCAGTAACACCTCCAACTGCAGTTGTTTGTCCACATTGAGTTTGGGAATCCAGCAACTTGCACTTTAAGGCAACAAATGCTTTTTAACATAACTTCTAGAACAGGTATTGATTCGCTACATTGCCAAAGGAAAATGAACGATGCGCAAATCACACAGCAACAGCATGGCATATTGGTAAACTCATCAACGTTTATTTATGATGTGCATTTTTTGCTAGCTAACACCTGTTGTTCAGCGTGGCATGCATATACGTGTACACTCTCTGTATTTCCATAGCTATTCGGTTATTTGTTTTGTCTCCAACAGCTGCTAGGTAAATTTGATGTTTATCTAGTGCCCAAATACTACATTATGGCCATTGTACAAAGGGACTCGGCATGTGTGCATCACAGGTGGATTTCGAATGCCATTATATTTGCCACAGCGGTTAGAACAATACTGTGCCACTACCATTCAGAACGGTAATACCTGTCTATGTAGTGTGGCAAACCCCATGGGGCCAAAGGGTACTGCTGCGACAAGTTAACGGTCAAGACATTGCTGCTAATGCCTTGCTCAATTTTGTGTTTAATTCAAATTATTTAGGTTTGGCACGGCAGTTCACTGCATCTGGACCACACCTTAGCATCCACATGCGGAAATTGCTCACTGTGAACGGACTACTCAGCAAACTCAGAAATTGTCCGTGCCCTCGGGCAATATTCTGTTCCACCTGAATTATACTGCACCAACGCGCAGTGTTGTCAATGGCTATGTTAAATCCAAAGCTCAACTATGTTGACATCTAAGCATGATTACATCAATAATAAGCCCAGAAAATGCAAGCACTGTACATAATTTATCAATAACAGTTTATGGAGGCTGTTATACAATGGCAAAAACCAGGTCTTGGGCTGGGGGGGGAGATTTTGTCCAACTGTGACTGTCCAGCTTTTTCATCCGTAATAGATCACTCACCACCCTTCAGAGTCCCCCATGGAAGGTAGTATTGTTTCTAAAATTACAGCGCTTTCAGTTCCGATGAAACAAACCTGCCAGAGCTTGCCACCTTCTCTCAGCTGGGTACACCACTACTGGGAGGGCACATCCCCCATCAAAAATTCACTCAGTCCCCACCCCCAAAAGAACCCAAATAACCAAGGAAAGATGTGGTCTCCAGCTAAATGGTAAAAAAATGCCTCATGCGACCTCATGAGATCGCTGTGCCCAACGTTTAAAATTTCAATCCACATGTGGCCATCATCACAGTGTTCCTTGGCATTTGCTCATAACTGCACTAACTTGATCCATCTTTGCTATCTTGAAACTTTCTGTGAGCTCTGGACGACTACATTTGATTTGAGGAATGGAATCCTGAAGACAATATTGGCTCAGTATCACAACGATCGGTAGCTATACATATATGTACTATTGCATCCAGTATACATCCTGGCAATGTTGTTTTTCTCAATTATTGTCCACTGTCACCTCAGCCGGACTGTGTAGGAATCACTGAGCGTGACGTAGCGGACCCACCGGAAAGGAACGTAGGAATGCTGACGGTCAAACAGCTTCATGTATTTGACCTCCAGATGGGAACTGACAAAGTTCTTGATTTCAAACTGAAGACTGACCGGGCCAAGCTCCATGACTGTGGCTCGGTGGAGTTGGGAGAGTTGAATCTAAAGGTGGAACAGAACACAATTATCCACACATTTATTATGACCAATGAATCGTTTGACAGGGAGAAATGTACCACTGTATACAGAACCCCAGTAGGGCACAACAAAAGGCTATGGGCTCTAGTGTTACTTGAATAAATTCAGATTGTCTTTCCAAATCAAGAGCAAGTTCAAAGACACTTGCATATGATTTAAGTTTAACTAAAGCTCTTAAACTGGTGTTAAACCATGGTGACTGTCTGCTTAATATCCTCAAATGTTGCAGACATTTGGAAACATCAAAGACTTTCATGAGAGAACTATATCTTCCAATGATTTGCAACTCAATATTTTTTTTTTTTGGGGGGGGGAATTCACTCACTCGGATTCGTGATTTGAGTTTGGATGCTCCATAAAACTTCTTAATGGTCCATGTGAAGATCTTCTCTTGAGGTTTGTACTCGGCTGCTTGGCCAGCTGCAGAGACACTCGCAGTCACACTGAATGAAGACATCAGAGCGACAGGTAAATAACACAACATTGGCAAAATGGACATACAAGCAAAAACCAGCTCACGGCATTCTTGACATGCCACAGTTTATGGACGGTAATACCTTCAAGCTCCGTGATCACAGCATAGATGTGTGGAGGGCTAGACAAACTCTAAAAGGGTCGGCAAACCGCCTTTCTTAAGGACAAGCCCCCCCCCCAATTTTGCTTCCACTTACTCTGTGGTTGCCTTGGGAACAGGGAGATGCACGTCCACATCAACAGCATGGCTAGATGATGGGAGGTCACACTGAACCTCAAGCTGGACTTCAAGACATCTGGGCAAAAAAAGCAAGCAAATATTTCTCCTTAACTTTTTCTGAGATTGTGCATAATATATCAGTGGTTTCTTAGACTAAAGTACAGCGCATGCTTACTGTTTATCTTCCACCTCTATTGTGACAGCTGATACATGAAATGGAAGCTGGCTAGGCAGTTCCCCTGTTATGCTGTATCTCATGATGGTACACTAGAATATTCAAAAGAAATCGAAAATCAGACTCATTTTAAGCATTTATATATCATTAGATGTACACTGAACATCCTCTGAGAATTGATAAGTCAATGACTTTTCTACAATTCTGTTGAGATTCTCTGAATCAGAATTAGAATGTCATAAGCAATTTTGCTCCAAAAAAGACTTATGTAATAAGAATTAAGCAGAGTAAAAAAAAAAAAAACACTATCAGGTTTTGAAACAAATTTTTAAAAAACACATTTTGGGAAAAATCCTAAGCTGAACAGGTCTGATAGTGAAAAAAAATATCCTCAGACAAGGGACCCTGAGATGACTACCTGCTACTATACATGACTGGTACAGACTTATCCAGTGACCAGAAATCAAAGCCATTTCTTGAGTGGTCCAACGTTTGCAAGCAGGTGGTACCTGCTCAGCAATACCGGCCTCTTCCACTGATAAGAGTTCTTTGTAATACATGTATACTTTTCAATATACAAGGGTACTTTTCAATACACAACTCCGGACACAAGTTGACTGTGCTCTCACTTTTGGTCCTCACAGAGGTGGAAGTTTTATGGTCACTCTAAGTAAAAGGTAGCACAATATATGCTTCTGTCCTTACTAGAGACCACTGAGGGTGTATGGTCCAACCCTGCCACGTTTGATCTGCAGACTAATGATTTTTTTTCGGGAGGGGGGGCACAAAGTTGAAACCATCACTGAAGGGGAGCTATAATCAGGAACAGGTGGTATGGCTCTTGGCAAGATGCTACTTAGCCAGACGAGTGAAAATAGGGTTTTATGACTTGCTAAAATTCATGCACACACGAGTATGTTGCCGATTCGGTAATAGATCTCCTTGGATTAGTACAGACCCCTCACCTCCCCTTCTGATGGGTGAATGGTTAGTGCCCTCTTATGTTCAAAGTCTGCCAAGTCAACGCTGGGATGGAACTGGGCTTGGTCGAGTCGTACTGCTGTTCCATATCCTATCTCGCTCGTCTTGCCCAGTACCAGGTCTTCGCTGAGGCCAAGCTTTAGCTCTGAAATAAAAAAGTCATGTTTTTATTCACCAACCAATAAGCAAGCATTCCCACAAGGGCCTGTTACAACCCTTTATTGCTTATGTCAATTATCATCTAAAATCTTGTCCAGTTTGATTCTTGTTTTCTAACTTCTGAATTACACTAACTTATTGTGAGTCTATATTTGGGCTGTTTGGAAAGTTAGAAATAATACTGATTGCTAAGATTGAATCTGTGCTAATATTTTGAAGTGCCGGTAAATCAGAATTGTCCAGATCCATAGGCCTACTTGCAACTCGGTACATAAAAATCAGCAGCTACACTGACCCCAAGCCCAAAAACTGTGGGCTTAGTAAACAAACTTAATTGAGCAAGACACCATCCACTGTCAAACAACTATCCACAAGACCCTCTGCTCCTTGGACTTGCATGAGAAAGGAAAGCAATAAGGCGAGTATGATGAGAAGAGATGGATCTCATTAACCATATGCTGTCCGGTTTAATTTGAAGTTGCATGACCTATTCCCAGTGGATTTTCAAGATTTTCCGTTTTCAAAATTCTTCAAAAATTCTCAACTTTATTTACTGGATGTTAACGCCTGCATGAATGACTGTCTGGTGGCTACTCTTATCTGACAGACAACATCTATTGACGACCGAGTATTTCAGCCAAGCGTGCCACCTTGTAAAGAGAGCCCAGATTGGATGATGTTATGTAATTTTCATTTGTTCCTGAAACTGGCCCAGTGCGCTGCTGGCGTCTTTTCAAATGCGGACCAGATTAGTGTGCAGCGATATTGTATGGCTCATTGCTGGAGCGATGAAGCACTTTTGTCCCTAGTGGTAATCCCATTGCGCTGAATGCCACAAACAGTGGTATAATCATTCAAAACAATGACGGATTTCCTCCGTTATTGACTACTGAAAAATGTTGGCAATTCCCAGCAACCCTATCTTTTGTTCCGAGTACAGTCTTTTGCTACAAGGCCAAACTCCTTTGTCTGATTTCGGGCACCTCGGCTTTGCATATATGGCCAATGTCTCCGGGCACCCCGGCATGAACTGGTTAAGACCAGCACTGTAGGTTTCCATGACACAGGTTACCCATACAGTACCTTCGCGGCTCTGCTGGCCCACTGAACTCAGCAAGGACCTTGAATAAAACTACAGCCTCTGTTTATGGGAGTAAGAAAAAAAAGGAGGGGCAGCAGGTGGAATTCCTGTGTCATTCTACACGTGCCTACACTTGTTTTTATTTCCATTTAACAGCAGCTGAATTATGCAGGAGAATGCCATTTAAAAAATCAGTGAAATTTGCCCTCGTAAATACATGTACTTTGTAATGAATGACTGAAGATCTGCTACAACATGCCTGGGTTTCCGACGATGAAAGTCTTCATTTGGAGGCTTCCATTCACTTCACTCCTGATCACCGACCCCTGGTTAGAGGAAATAAAAACCTCCATAGTAGCCATCAACACTGCTTATACAAGCAAACTTCTATAAATGCTGCGGTTAGGTGTGTTACTAGGCTTACGTGAACCAAAGCACCCTGTGAAACAACCTAGACATATCCAGAAAAAGGAAAACTCCTATCGACTTACATTTGCAGTCATGAGAACTGTCATTCTTTCAATTACATCTACATACACTTCGTTCCTGGAGCTACCCTGAAAAAAAAAGAGAAAGTCATTCAATAGTTAACTGAGTTATGTTACCGAACAGAACCAACTCATACACTAAAAGGAATTCCACAGCTAAGTCACTGTCTTTCCAATGTAACTTTGAACCAACTCACTTGAGATGATGGTGATACAGGTATGGGCTTCTCCGCTGCATGGCTTGGCGCAAACCGGAATTCTGCCCCAAACTGTAGGAAGTAAAAAAATAAAATGGATAAAACATAATAAACAAACTTAGATTTTCCACCTGATGGCAAAGTCAGACTCACTGCTTCACAATCCTAAGGCTTTGAATGGAAAGAACCAAGATATTGAAAATGATGCCTTCAGAATGAGTGGTACCCTGACAAGGCTGTTTGCCAATGCTGAACACAATCCTACAGCATTGCCTTGGTGTCCTACTCCTTCCTGGTTGTGGAAAGTGGCTCTACAGTATCTTGGAAGGATTTTTTGCCCAAACTTATACACCAATGAGCCAGAACATGAGCACAAGCTCACTTTCACCACCAAAAAGTACCGTACACGTATCAGTACACGTATCAGTGAAGTAGTGGAAACTTTTCCACATTACACCTTCACCACTTCAGTTTGTGATTGGAGTACCCAGCTTAACATGATGTGAGTACTTTCACAGAATAGTTTGGCTGACAATGCACACGGCGGTAAAAGAATTTAGACTCCAAGTCTGAGCAGTGGTTTTTCACATGTAGATTTCCCACACATTTATTTAGGCTGTTTTTACCATATTTCTAAAAACTCATTCAAAGTACTCAATCAATGTAGCCTCAGCACTTGCCCTTGATTCCTACCAAGAACCAAGCATACTAAGTGTTTCATTATGAGGCCATATTTGAAAATTGTGGCTACAGCTAGAAATCTGAAATATGCCCATGGGAGCCAATGGTTAGTGGTTGGATCCACTTCCAATATAGTTGTGCATTACTGCCAGCCGCAGCCAGCTGATTTGGCCATGGCTTTTCTTGTTGGTCTAGCACTGGTACATATTCACATAAGACGCATAGGAAAGTTGGTTTTACCAGGCCAGGACCCAATGTGAGGAACCCTACGTCAGCTAGTGAATCGGCTTTCACCACCTCAGCATCACTCCGAATGTAGGGCTTGAGGGACTTGGTGGATGTCGTTTGGACATAGCCATAATCCTGTCAGTGAGAAAGGAAATAAAGTTGGATTTTTTAGTCACAAAACCGTTCTTTGTTGTAACAGTGTACAATTCAGTTCACGTCTTGGATCACTGCTCTGCATGTGACAAGAAATCCATTATCACCTTTATAAAGGCCGCGTCAGAATCACTTGGCTGTGGCTAGAAATCACACCATTCTATAAGAACTGGCAGCAGCCACTACCATAGACCTGTACATAATTTCTAGCTGGAGCCAAAACAGTTGGACACTGCGCAGACTCAGAGCAAATAGTCTAGAACACTTACTATGACTTCCTCAAGCAGCTCATAGACCAGGGCAAAGTTACGCCTGATGCCTTCATCAGTTAGCACTCCACAGTAGTCCTTTACCATGCTACTCACCCTATGAACAAGGACAAAATTCAAAACGGAGGGCTTTCTTTCCCTCATTTTAAGGCCTTTCCTTGTACAGTAGTATTGCATCTTTTTCCACTGTGGTTGATAGGGTACAATATGTGACCCACTCTGAGAAAATGAGTCATGACGTACCAGAGCAACTTATGAGTCAAAGGCCTTTAACAGATTTTTGCACAGTGTAAATCAATGTGAAACCTCATTAACCCTAACCCCCCAGGGTTGCTGGCCCTAACCTTCCCCATTCACACAAAGTTTAACACCCATGGGACTTTGTGCACAGAGGCTGTTGGACTTTGTTTCTCTGAGGTATGCCAAACTCAATGCAAAAGCCAGCTGTTATGGGCCTACCAGACCTATCCCCACAGAATTGAACACTTTACTACTGTTTAATTCTGTGTGGTTGGGGAAGGTTAGGGTTAAGTTTCTAAAGTTTTTACTTTTTGAAAGCAACTACCACCATTTCTTTTATAGGCATTAAATGTATTTCAGTGGAAGGCCACTTCAAAGAAAGATGCATGTGAAGGATTTTCAGCTGCAAGTTGGCCTTGCAGTGATTTAAAAATACGGCCGTTTCACAATAGTGTGCCACCAAGAGTTTGCAATGCGTTGGCCAATCACAATGCGCAAAATATGTCGACCCAATGTGCGTTTGAAAAGGGTCGACAAATTTCTTGCGTTATGATTGGCTAACGTGTTGCAAACTCTTGGTGGCGCACTATTGTGAATCGCACATGTTATCACTCCACAAGGATTCAAGGCTTGTGATGTTTCAAAAGTGACTTTTAAGACAGCCCGTGGATGCCAAGTTTACCTTGAAAGCAACTCGATTGTTGCAAATGGTGCAAGGTCACTCCTGCTTGTGCAGACAAAGTAGAGACCATTGCGTTTCACGTGCACAAAACACCTCCCTTCCAATTCCTAAGTAAAATGAATGAGAAATAGAAAATGTAGCCAAACAGCTGATCAACTTAAGAAAATGGCCTCGAGTTTTACTCATTTGGGAGACACAAAGATCACAGTGGAGGAATTGGAAGTAACTCCCTTGACAATTCCAAAACTGATTACCTATATGTAGTATATACAGTTTTCTTCACTTGAGCATTGATCCATTAACTAAACAGACTCCCCAATTCCACAAGTGAGTGTAGGAATCATTTCATTGAGAAATTTGTTTCAGACAAGAAACCCTTCATTTTTGTCACATCCTACTTGGCAGTATATATTTAATACAGGTTTTATAATAAGTTTTCTGGTGTGTTTGAAGTAAACTATAGTACATGTTCCTATTGAGAATGTAGAAAGTTCTCTGATTTCTGTTATCAACTGCTTTTATTTATTGCAAAAAAGAGGTCAGTCTACAGCCTTTCAGTGCACAGACCTCAGCTGGGGCTAGATCAGCCCCTTTACACTGCTTCAATCGCTCCAGGAATACCTCCGCTGCATTGGGAAGTCCATCTCCTCGGTCTGATAGGAGAACTGTAAGGAGCATTTTCTGTACATGAACAGGGTCTATGGCATTTGGTGAACTGAGCCCTCTTTGAACCTGGCACTTAACGTACATACAAGTATAATGTAACTGCAACTATAACTGTGATGCTGCCCCAAACCTCCCCACTGGACAGTGGATATGAAGTGATTATTTTGGCATCATTTTTCGAGTTTATGATTACAAAACTTTTTTTCTTTATTCCTTCAGATAACAATTTCAGTTTTTGTCCAGGATGTGATATTTGGAGTTGAAAGTGTTAGAGCCAAAGTTAAATGCACACAGTCAATAGGAAAACAGCTGAGGATGTAAAAAAGGAGCTTTTGTATCCTGCAGTACATTATATCAGGGAACACTGTGACAGGATTTATGTGTATGGTCACAGCACGGCATTCAACATGGCCCCCACCTTGCATAGTGTAATACCGAGTGAAAAAAAAATCAGTTTTCTTAATCGAAAATGTGGGTGGGTAGGCGGGTCACAACAATTTGGAAACAAATCATAATTGAAACACATTGAAAATTTTGAATGGCCCTTAACACGGGGCAGTTGAACAAATCTCAAAAAATCCCTCCAAGCTTGGAAGCTTGTAGGTAACGCCAAGTGGCACATTCCTCGAGGAAGGAGCTCTATAGTCCCCTTCGGGGGGGGGCATGTGCCCTCCGGTAAGAGGACTCCCACAAATAATTGAAAGACGAAACAGCCCTTTTGATCCTGTTTTATTTATTGTTGATCATGTGCCCTATTAAAATATTCCTCAAAACAATTCATGACATTGACATTAAATAAATATACAGAATCTACAAAGTATAAAATCATACGTGTGATTAATGTGTGTTGGAGTACATTAGCACGTACACAACATTTATATGCTTATTAGTTCAACTCACCCAACACTTGTGGGATTGCAGTTACAAATAAAAATACTCTAAATGTGGCGTGACCCGCTGCACTGGGCTGAAATGGTACCCTGAACTGTTTTGGCCAACCATGCATTCACTCCCGGTGGACAGGAGAAGAGGCATGTTTGAAAGAGTGCCCTCTCAGGCTCAACACTGAGAATAATTAATACACAAAATGAGGATCCCTACATTAACATATAATAATTTCTTTAAAGTTAATAAATTCAGATAAATCATTATTACACGTACCATGCACATAGGATGGGTTACTCTATTATCGCGGTAGTTATCACATTTCCAGATCGAAATAAAGATTGCTCACTCACCTCCCTAAATTATCCTGTCCTTGCTGTAGTTTAACTCTTTTTTTACCTTGATTTAGAACATTTGTTTGTGGTTCAATTTATTTTCCTCTACAATAGCTCAGAAAATCTGCGTGCGCGCTGTATACAAGCGAAGGTGGATTCTCTATAATCGCGGTATCAAGAAATGGTTTCTTTAAAGGCCTGAATAAATAAAGATAGAAAGAATAGATACTACTTTCAAAGGAAATAAACTAGTCTCATTTTATGATACTGCTCCATTTTACCTGTAACTGACTCCGTTTTTCCAGTCTCCTTAACCCTAACCCTCCTCAATCCTCCAACAGGTGAAGGATTGAGGAGGGTAAGGGTTAAAGATGCCAAACGCTGAGAGAATGAGATGGGAACAACTGCACTGCGTCACCTGACACTTTTTAATCCAGAAAGGACTTCATTTATTTCACCAGAACTTGCTTACACCAATCTTAAATGTAGCAACAACTATGACATTCATCTTATTACTTAAATTGGTGTTTTGCTGAAGGAATAATAAATATGGGGGTATTGCAAGTTTCATTTTTTGGGTGGACTCGTTCTTTTATCAATGTCTGAAACAATTGTTAAAAATGTCTTCTTTCTGAGTTTTAATTCTCAGAGACATAAACTATTTCATTCAAAATTCACATGTATGTTACAAATTCCAAATATCCATTGCAAATTCTTCAAATTGTTTTAGAAAAGCAAAAAAATCTGACAATAATGCCAACGTAATTATTCGCTACTTGCCCCGATGGCAGAGGGTAAAAATACTGGTACGATTGATACAAGTCTACTGGCACGCTTTATGCACGCAAAAAGTTTTTCAGGGCAATTTGACTCCGAAAAAATGGGCACTTTTGCAATTAAAATGCACCTTTGGCCATTTCGAAATAGACATATGGGAACCCAGCAATGGATATCCAAGGGCAAGGTAGCATTAGAAATAGACTTAGAACTCACTGGGAATGCAAAATTCAAAGTTTCCGATACCACGATAACAGAGTTTTACCGCGATAATACTAAAAGTTAGTAGAACCGATTAGGCCTATATGTGATTCACCGCTACACGTAGGCTTACTCAGGAAACACTTTTTCAGACAGGTTTTTCAGACAAGTCTCACAGGCAGACAGATTTGTGCACTGGGGCATGAAGTCTACGGTAAAGGTACCGGGTATAAGTAATAGTTAGCCCAGGTTTGACGACGTCTACATTACATTAGTCGCGATGTACATGTAATGTAGACGTCGTCCAACCTGGGCTAATAATATTAATAAATAGGGCCTAGTGTAGTGTGATTTGTGATTTTAAAGCAGAAAGTATATTGCCATGGTTTTTTCAACCGCTCCTGAAAAGAAACTCGACTATTTTCTTATTCAAGGATACAGTCTTTATTGATAAGCACATCTCCTCGTGACGAAATAATGAAGAACTGGGACAGCATCTCATCAACAGTCGCACACTACGTACAGCTGTGACCTTAGGCTGTGACTCGACTCTGTACTACTCGTCGTGCGCGTACTATCTTTGCTCAGCGCCCTCAGGCCTCGTGCGCGACTTGTTTGAGCTACCGCCCTCTACTGTTAGTTATCGACTTTTGTTTTCCATTTAAGAAATGGTACACTTTCCTTTTGGGGAGAGAGTTCTTTTTACAGTTTAAAATCAGTTCAGAAAAAAACTGTCATAACCCCACCCAGACGCAAAAACTGAATGCGTTTCGATTATGACCATCAAAATAACTCATTACTGCCATCTTTACCATGGGATCACCACTTTCTATCATATTTACAGAGAAATCTTTCAAAAAAGGCTAAATTAATCCAACTTCACTCGACATGGTTTGACAGACTTAGGACTACCATTAGTACACTCTCAAGTTTCCGCCCCGCGCGCTTGTTTAATTTAATTTGTTAGATCATGTGTGCACCTTCCGCAGAGGCTCACGGCCCGGGTACCGGGTACTTACTGGGTTCTCACTCCCGGCTCCCCGCAGTACCCAGTGTCCTGCGGGTTTTGAACTGTGGTTTGGTTGTCCGGTTAAATTTAACATTTTTTTGGAGGGGGGGGGCTTTCCCAGTGACACTTTCCTTCAGTTTTTGAGAGCCTTCTGAAGTTGGGACTGTAAAATTTTATTCTATCGTCCTGTTTTTTGGTTTTTGTTTTCCAGATAATTTCAAAAGGCGCGGGGTAGGATATCCTATCTTCAAGACACGGCGTTCATAATGTATAATTCATCATTTAAAATGGAGGGAAAATCCTCTATTTGCATTAGTCACAACGGTGCTGGTAAGGATCGCTTGTTGCCAGCTTTGACCGGCGACATAAAGGTTATTAATATTCAACAACCACGCAGATGACGGCGTGTGTCCAGTCAGGCGGGCCTTGCTGAGAACGCGAAAAAGATAACACATGTATCTACCGCCAAGGTAACGGTGGTGAATGTCATTCGTAAAAGCGACGTACATGTACATACGCGGCACTGAACTTAACGAGACAATAATAAAGGCATGGGAGAACCTAAGCATCCATTGTCTCTCATCTTGCTCGGTAAGTGGACTAATTAAGGTTGGACACTATTTTTTTAACACACGATAGCAAAAATGGTTGCATCTAGGTTTTGAGTTTGGCGGCAAAATGGGAATATGTTTCCTAGTCTAAATTTTCATGATCCATAAAAGACCCTCCCAGTAGAAAGGCGGTGAACGTACTGCCGTTTCTGTCAGCACTTTCAAATCCTAAAATTAACAAAAATAAAATGGTAAAATATCTTTATGGGGCAACTTAACTTAGACAAATGTAATCTCAAAAACACTGTATGAATATCAACTTTTGAAAATTCAAAAACTGAGCAAGTTTGAGGCATACTGATTAGAGAAATCATTTTGCGCACTGTCGCTCGAATAACAGAACTCAACCACGCGTGACCAAGACTTTACCAATTTAATACTGTTTAATAAAAGTTTGCATTTTCTTCGATTAATTTCTATATAACCCCCCTAACGAATTTGTGCGCGCATTCTTAATTCTGTAGCAGTGATTCAATAGCAGTGAACGCAATTTGGTATTTACGGGAAAATCAGAGAATAAAGTTGGCCGAACAGGTTGACAAACCGATGATCAAACATATAGACAGAGCAAACATAATAACTATTAAGTTTGTTACAAAAAGTGAACCATCTGACAAAAGCACATTTTGTGCTCAATACTACTTCAATACTACAATATACTACAATAACTCCTTCATAAGAAAATATCAAACTAAGAGATTCGTGACTCTGACAGGTATCCTGGCTACAATATCGTCGGTTGACGGGAAAGTATGCTACTTGGGACAGGAGCCGGATTTCAGCAGCACCTTGAAATGGGTGTTGCCATACCGGGACCCGTGCAAGTGCCAAGACGTGCGACTTGGCAGCATCAACACCGACGCACTGGACCGACCCTTCGAGCCTGCTTACTTCAACTTGTCGACGGTGGTATTCGAAGACTTGAAGGCGGTTGTTCAACTGTTGGACTGCAAACCAGGTAAATTAATGATGTGCCGTTGCTTTACATACTTGAAAAAAATTAATGGCTTGATACCCTTCCAGAAAATAGCTCTTTAGTTTTATAAACCAGTTGTCCTTCATGGAACTTGTTGAGCGACAGACGTGAGGTTTACAAATTGGTCATGTAAGACAGAAAAAAACTGAGTGAGTAGGTATAACACAAGCACATCGGTCGCCTACATTAATTTCTGAAATACAAGTAAATGAGCAAAACATTCAACTCAAATCCTGCATTTAATGTATTAAAAAAAATGAAAACAAAAAGGGGTTGCAGAATCGGCCATCATGACGTTATCTCTGGAAATGCCCCCAAAAATAATGACACAACTTTTTGAAGAGGTGCAGATAATAAGACACGTTTAGCTGACTTTCACCCGAGACAATGCATATATTTTAAAGTCAAGAGCTGCATTACTTTAGGTGCTGCATGGGTTTGGTTCACAAATACCGGTATTTGGTTTCTCAACCGTCCACATTTGATGAGGTTTCTGTTCGTAGGGTATATTTTCTCAAAGTTCGTGATGAAGAGGTACCGAGGGAAGATTTGTGGGGTACTAACTGCCTTGGTTTCAATTTTCCTTCGAATTTGTTTCATTTTGTATTCAGGATGTAGCACATTCGAGGCAAGTGGCTATGGTTACAAGTTTATGTTCGCGGCACTTCCTCGGTCGTCGGATGAAACCATTAGCGTTGAGTTTGCAGTGCGTGCCAACGACCAGGTCCACATAGCACTATCGAGCCACAACGATGATTCATCACAAATGTACGAAGTGGTGATCGGTGGATGGTTCGACACGAAGTCGGTGATCCGTCGTCGGAGACAAGGACAAAATGTGGTAGCAAAGGCGGATCCCAGTGGATGGCTTGACGGGGATACCTACAAACCCTTCTGGATCAGAGCTACCCCCGGTGTCGGCGGTGACGGCCGAGCTACCTTGACCATCAGGGTAGGCCGAGGCTCAGATACAGAGCCTTTCATGGGCTACCTGGATACCTCTCCACTATCTGTGAGCTACTTGGGGTTTAGCATGTGGGGCGACTCAGTTGGTGAATATCGATTTTGTGGTCTTGAGTTAGCTGCCGATAATTAACGTTCCAAAGGGGAAACGTCGTCCAAGGGGGACCTCACAAGGGTCACAGTTCATAGCCTGATAAACAAAAAGTCCCACTTATCAGCGTATTTAAGTGCCAAAAAACAGGGTATGAAAATGTGTTCAAATCCATCACTCAATAACATTCCAAACATACACTAAGTGGTTTTCGGACTGTGAAAATTGAAATTTTGTCCGCCGTCAATATTATTACCAACAAGCACCTTAGAGCATCAGCATAAAATTTTCACTTTGTTAGCGTTCAGTTGACTGTGTCCTTTATTAACATTAGCTACAAAACGAAGGAAATATGACAGATGTAAGTACATTTGCAAAAAACCCATAATTTATACAAAATGCGATTTGTAATACCGCATTAGCTTAATATTAAGGTTGCCTGTTGTTTTATTCTCTTTTCCTAGTCATGTTGAAATAGCAGATAAACTATAGTCCTAGTATTGAGCATTAGGGGATATTGTGCAATGCAGGAATACTTCATCTACTTCATGATAATGACTCAACTGTGGTGCTATGTGAAACCATCTGACTTGGTCAGCCAACAGTGTGAGTGGTTTATGACCAAGTCTTCATAAATACACAGACGCCACGACCAGGGCCAATTTGATAGAGCTCATTTAACACACATCTGCTAACCCAAGAAAAAACGTGGAAAGCAAAAGTATGATCTTTCCAAATGCCACGTGCCATAATGGCAAGACAGGCTGAATTCTGTGGTCATTTCATCCTGCCCCGAAGCTCTATAAAATTGAACCCAACAATGAAATATTCTTACACTAAATTGTATTCAGATATTGTCACTGATGGGGTAGTTGTAAGGTGTAATTCTGGAACTAAATATGGATGGACGTTTAAATTAAATCTTCAAAGCCTAAGTTTTTCTAAGGAACTGTTTTTTAAAAACTGTGTACACAAAACTGAAAAAAAATGCTCTCAATAAAAAAGATTTGCTGAGTCTTGTGAACCTTAAAAAGACAGTAATACACATACATGTAGCTTTTAGTTCTTGAGATGATGTCAGATATCAACTTGGTGTACTGAAATTTCTTAATTTATGACCTAAATGTGACAGAAAAGTTGTATGAATGTAGTTACTGTACAGAATTTAAACATGAACAATTTTTTGGGCCAGAACTACTTAATTTTGTTTCACAAGAATTTTGATAATTTACATGTAGGTTAGTTTCATCGCTTAACTTCACAGAGACAACATACACTCCACACATCTCTGCATTGTAAAAAAAAGCCCCTTAGTTTGGAGGAAAAGCACTTATTAAGTCACTCTGTATAAATGTCTTAAAACTGTTGTGCAATATACATGTACATAATCAATGTAAGACTTAACTTTTAAGACTGAGTGCCTGTTAACAACTGCTACTATCGTTCTGATAAACTGTACTAAACGTGTTTATGTTCTGTGACAAAATATAAACAAACTATGTTGTGGGCGGTAATAAAGCAATTATAAATAGTAATAAAAAGTTTGAAAATAAAATGTACTGCACTTATATGCATTTAAAAAGTATGTGATTGAATTGGGGGAAAAGGCAGCATTCACTACATTTGTTATTCCATTTTAAGTCCATTTTACCATAAGATTTACGTTACCACAAATTTATCAGTTGAGACTCAACTCATTCCTAACTTTCAAAAACTTATTCAAACTTCATCAGGACATGGCATTTGATGTGATTGATGTCCAATGTGCGACCTAGAGACGAGTCAAGCATTAGTCAAATCTATGCATGCATTTTTTAATACCTGCAGTTAGTTACAACCAGGAAGTATGCTACAGAAGGTACCGTCAGAGTGTTCAGACTTCTTGCCAGAGTTTGCATTCTTACATGTCAAATATCTACAAATCCAACAATTCTTTTCCTTCTGTGGTATGAATTGCCTGACTCTGATTGGCTAAGTGAAACCTGTGGGAAGTACAGCTTTTCCACATCTTTCATTATTAGTTTTTCTCTCTCTTTGAATTCAGGATCAAGTTTCAAAATAAAAAAAAATTAGCTTCTTGAAGTTTCGATCTTCTGATTCGATGCATTCATGGGAGCGTCAAATAAAAGGGTTAATGTCCAGCAAGAGTTTGTATTTGTAGTAATTCCGCTCAGTTTCTACAGGGAATGTCTGAAACCAACAGTGGAGCCTGTGATGCAGACACAGCAGAAATGAAGCCAAAGTTTGGACAAAGGCCCTAGCATAAATCATGAGAGTAAATCACTTTTGTCTTTGCCAATGGTTTGAACAGCACCTTTTTTACAGGAGTTGCCGCTTACTGGAATTCTTTTGCTTTATTTAGCCCTGTCTCTAGGAAACTGACGTAGGCCACTACCAGAGGATCTGAAAAAACCCTGCAGATGTAAACAAATAAAGCAAAACAAAACAAAATAAAAGTAAACTGGAAGCTCATGTTTCATTGGATACAAATTCTTGGCACGAATGCAGAAAAATAGCTTCCAGATGAGTATGGTTAGTTGCAAGCATCCCAACGAGCCAAGACCACAACCAAACACTGTACAAATGATACTTCTCCCAAAAGAAAATGAGAATGTATAATTTTACATGAAAAATATCTCAACATTACATAAGGAAAATGAAGAAGACTTTGATAAACAGAATAAATTAATTCTGAGCAGGAAAGACCTTGTGTCCATGTACATCACAGAATTCACTGAAAGCTGTCCAGAAGGAGTTTCCAACATTTGCTCAGTTAAGTGAAGTAAGACAAGTCCGAAAACAATCTCTACACGGCTGATTTCTTTGTTTCCAGGCTCATTTCAATGCCTTTGCATGCTTCCAATGAACACTTAATTCACTAAAAGGGCATCTTGAAAGCACATTAAACACGAAACAGAAGCTTTAAAACTGAAGCGCAGTGAAGGTCACAAACTCATGTGGATAACCTCAAGTCGCACTGCCCATGAACCCTGAGATGAGTTAAAATATAAAATGGGTATTAGAAAGGATGACGTCTAGGCAGGGAGAAAATACCCATGGAATTGACAGCAGTGACTTACTGTGAGATGCTGGGGGGTTCTTGGCCCATGTCCAGAAGATCATTAGCGTTGATGCTGTGCACTACTGTGCCATTAGGAAGTAAGACTAGTATTTGTACAGGGAAACTGTAAACAGACGAAACCATAACTGGGCTTGTTAATTATTAGAGTCCCATTAAGATGAAAGTCCTCTATGAGTTACTTTGTCAATTTTTTATCAAGGACTTTTGGAAGATAATGTGCGAGGCTGGAAATATTGGATAAGGCAATACAGACAACCAACGGACCAAGGAGTAAACTTTGCAAATCCTAAAAAACGTTAAGAATGTGTCACATGAAAGGTTATGGTACACAGGTTTGTGCCAATATTTAATTTGACTGAATATATGTAAAGTTTCCATCAGATATAACATTACATGCAGGCAGTGTTAAAAATACAAAAAAAATACCTTCATAAGACCCTTAGGTTTGTTACATCATCTTACCAAATGCAAATAAGGATTCAAAAAGCAATTTATATTTAAGGGTCATTTAAACAGTAAGTAACATTTCAGAGGTGCGTGTTTTTGTACATTTTCCCGAAAGAAAGTTGCTTGTATAGCTGCCCTGTCTGTAACAACTTATAGGTGATGTTCATACAAAGAAACCAACCATTGACCTGGTGATTTTAAAAAAGTATAATTCATACTTTCATAGTTTTCATGCATGAGACTGCCAGTGTAATGCCAGCAAATTTGATGGAGACAAAAAAATCAAAATTGGTCAAACAGTGGAATGTAATTCTTTCTTTTTCAATTTACCCACGAAAGTGTCCCCGATAATAAAAAGGATGGGAAATTTTACTGTGTAATCCATTCAAAATGTGTAACGAATCACTTCACACTACAACAATTGATAGGAAATCTAAAAACTGCTGCATGCAGGTCAGTGTAGAATATTTTCCCCAACCCACTACAGGTGACTACAAATAGTGCAAATAGCAGATACACAGTGAAACCGACCTGCAATGGAAAGGCTGTTATTGCATGGATTGTAACTTCTATTAGCATCACTTATTTTTATATTAATTGACCAACAAAGGCTGTTCCTCCTTCCTGTGATAAATAAATACATTCATGAGCCATCAGAACAAAAGGTCTTACAATGCCTTCAGCCAAATCATCACCTCCTCCTTGAAAATTTCCCCCTGTTCCTCTCGCTGAATTCGGGATCTGTAATCCTGTCTGCTAGCCTAATGTTTATCATTGAGTATCTACAAACGAGTGGACTCACGAGTAGGAATTCAGACAATGTGAAGCCAGCCGGGCCACTTCAGTCATCCCCGTCTGGTCCCCTGTCTTCTCCTCCTTCATCTTCTCCAGATCAGCGACCAGTGACCAGGTGCTGATGAAGTGCTCCTCCAAGAGAGCGAGGACGGGCGAACTCTCGAGAGCTGTCTCTCGAAGAGTCCGCCCCGAACCTGGTGAGCAAATGATGGTAGACGAAAAGATTTCCATACTTGTGAGGCAGCACGACTGTTAAATTAACCAACTTACAGTGAAGGAAATCATTAAAAATAATCTAACACAAAACAAAGCAACAACGTGAACTGAAACTTGCTTACTATAAACTAAGACTATAATTTTTTCAACAGGTCAGCTAAAAGACCATGATATCACAATAATGAATATAACTAGTGCTTATTTACAGGGAAGGGTATGCTTAGAGAAAGGGGAAATGTAGACATTATGAGGTTCAATTTTTGTGGAAAACATGCCAACTCTTGAGATTAACATAAATACACAACGCCATGGCACCCTTTGATAGTGTTACAACAAATCCACGCCTTCCTTTTTCTATAAAAAAAAAATGAAGGAATACTGTAGTGAAAAAACTAAAGACCAGATTTATTTCAGTTGGAGGAAAAAACCTGTCAAGAGCTACAATCCTTTCTTTCCCATCACAATCTCACCTCAGCAGGACTGGTCATCGAGGGACCCCCAAAGAAGAATGGTGTGAACCAGTTTACTCTCTACAGCTGCACGCTTGAAAGCTTCAGAAAATGGCAAATAAGGCACCTGGCATTTTATTGATAGGGAAAGAACAAAGAAAGTTTTGAAACATTTCACCTGCAGAACCCATTTATATTACACAGCCCAAAATGTAATATTTAAAACTAAAGCAAGAAATACTAAGTATCTTAATTTTTCTCAGTTCATGCACAAGGAGTCAGATGGGTGTCTGTAGCATCCATGTTAGAGAGGTCAACAAACTATCCGTTTCTAGGTTTCTCTTGCTTTAAAGGAGTTAAACACAACCGCATCAACACATTAGCAAAAAAGTCTTATTTTCCGCGTAAGCACTGTGATATTCTTGAGGAAAACTTGTAATAGAAGTCCGTAATGATAAATACTGCTTTACGCTAGAAATCAAGCAAGAAGATCTGGTGAAATTGAAGTATGTTGGGCCAAGTTGTACCCATAAAATGGTCAGTCAGAGTATTAAAGCCAAGGGAGTAAACGCCAAAAGTAATGTGACTGTCTTCAAGACCTTTTAGTACTGACTCAGCAAATTATAAATAGTGCAGACTGGACGACCACTTTGCTCTGTAATATGCAAACAATACCTGCTTAACAGTGTAAAGGTAAGAAGAAGTTCATGAGGAGTTAATTAGCCGCAACAGTATATTCTGTCAATCACCTCATAAAATTATTACTGAAAACTATTACAGACATGACAGAGCGTGGAGATCAGGTGTGATTTATAAACAAAACCACACTGTTTATTTCCACTCAAGCGACAGCCACCATAGTGAGAGCAGCAATTCTGAAAATGCAGATATAGATTTCAGAGAATTTGAGGCCTTGTAATTCCTCATATATTAACCCTAACTCCCCAGGGTGTATGCAAAATTATACTGAAATTGAAGGATTTGGGACTGTTAGGGTTAATGCTGTTTTATTTTGAACACGCATCTCAAGTATCCCTGGTATAAGAGCAGTTCCTGAAAATTTATTGTAATACCATTTTCATGAAACATGATAGGCCCTTGGGCATTATCAGCCTCCATTGTCCTGAACTGGTTTTAACCGTCCAAGCACAAACAGTACTTATTCCCTTGAGAAACAACTGAATTAAAATGTACATGGGCAGTTGTAAGTACTGTTTGTTATTTTAATTTAAAAAAAACACATTTTAGGTAATAATTCTGAACTGCCCTTTTGTGTTTCGGAGATTTGAATTATAAATTACAATGCAGTCCAGTCAACAACATCCTCTTTTCAGTAGAAAATAAGGCAATAAATGACTCACTTTTTTAAATGGATAGAAATGGCGTTCTAGTATTAAGAATGCACTTTCCATGGAGATTTCGGTATTCCAGATTATGTTGCCGTTCAGCAGGTCATTTGCTGGTGGCTTGGCCTCCTGTAGAACCTCCCCGTCCTCCCCAAGAACTGAGATTTGGCTGGAGGGACTGGAGATAGTCAGCTCCAATTGTGGCATGAAGCCGATGTCTACCTCCATATTCTCATTTTCCATGGGGCCGTTCATCCACTCCATGTCTGCGGCACAAAAGGAAGGAAATACACATCTGTGACCTTTGAACTTAAAGTTGGCCCTTCATCAACACGCGGTGTGACAGGAGGTGCTTCTGTGTGGTGAAATTATCTTGACCGTTTTACCACTCATCTTGTAAGGGTCAACTCTGCGGATCAAATCCAGTCAATTTAAACTTACAGTGCCAAATAAAAGTTACATGTCTGTGGCCAGCTCAAACAAAGTGTGACTACAGTGTTGAGAACCTCTGATAACTGAATGCTTGATCAAAGGTTACCTCCCTGAACTAAACTTAAAACATTTTCTCAAATTTTGGCAGCACTCACAGGTGCGACACCATGAAACTACACCGATAGTGTGACTCTGTTGGATAACATTAGAATTTACATTTTTTCAAAAAGAAACTCACTATTGAAGCAAGTACGCACAGGCACACCAAACGTCAGCACTATAAAGGTGTTTTTAATGCAAATGACAAAAATTATCTGCTTCAGCAGTACCTACTAATCTGTTTCAAAACCAAAAGGTGACCTGTCACCACAAAAATTAGCTGAAAGTCAGAATTTTCAAAAATTGAGATATTGGTGTTTTTTAATTCAGCAGAAAAGGAGCTTTCCAGTGGTCTCTATTAGGGTAAAAGTATAAGGTGACAATGTGACAATATTCTGGCAGCTTGCATCTTTCTTTCTGACATTGTTTTAATATTTCTGACCAGGCACGAATATAGCTATCATCAAAATTGCTGAGAAAAAGACATTTTTAAATATATGATCCTGCAAAACATTTGCAATTACGCAGAAAACGGGTTACTCTTCCAAATGTTTCAACCCCCCCTTTCTTGAGAAGTGAATTAAAACTTTCTGTTCTACAAACTCTTGTCCATCTGCCTGCCTTTTAAAAACTTCCCCATGGAGACCTTCAAACCTCTCTTTTAATTGCGTGAGAAATTGGTAATTTCTGCAGTCAGGTATGTACTGATATCCTATAATTTGGAACTGGTTCCCGACATTAACCACTTAGCGCCGGTTGACCCCATATGGCCCACATTCTTCTGATCCACACAGCAGGGCGGCCATGTGTGGGGACCGGACTGACTGCTTTGAGTCACCATAGGCTGTAATTCCCCTATTGTGAAGTACAATGGCATGAAGTACCCATTTGAAGCAAGACATGGGATGGAGAGATTTCCCCCCCCCCCCGCCTTTGTATTGGTCATTGATCGATCGGAATCTCACGAATTCTTTACAGACTTCTAGGGGGGATGTGTTAGGTAACAATAGTCTAGAGTGTGTATAGGGATTGGACGGGTAAGGGGGGGGTACCCCTCCGTTCCATATCTTGCCTGGTATAGAAATACCGCAGCGCTCTAGGCCAGCCTGGCCGACGAATGCGTTGCCCAGCCCGCCCATTGTTTGTCATTCCTGGCAGGGCTGAGGGCGAACAAAGAAGCTGTTATGTAACACCATAATAAACAAAACAATGGCATATTTTTTAAAGCGCCCCACCACGCTTCATTGCCTTCTGACTCTCATTACATGACACGCATTTCTTGGATGAGTTTTTTCCTATAAAAGTATGGTGAATATGAATGTCAAAATCAAAATTATTTTTAAAAAACGCCTGGCAACGTGTAATTCAAGGGAATTTTTCACCCAGCGTTAAGTGGTAAACCTGGATTCCAAACAAATCCCTAGGTTTGAGGATTCTTTTACCCCTTCTGTCTCAAAGATACTTGTTGGTCCCTGCTTCTTACCAACATTGAGGCTCTTGTTGCTGGGAACATAGAGGTGGAAATGCTCAATGTGAGAAGAGTCTCGTCTGATGATGAGGTTACCGGTGAATTGAGCTGGGGTGAACCAGAAAGGATTCAAGGGAGGCTCATTCAGCTGAAACTCTGCATGGATCCTGACAAAAAAAAGAAGAGAAAACCAAATTAGGGCCGAGTCTATCAGATAGTGGATTATTTGAATATTCAATCTTCCATTTAATTGAGTATTTTGAAAATATTCAAATGCGTGACAATTGATCAAATGGCAGGATAGAGGAGTATACACTACAGCCCAGAACCTTAATCTTCCTTGACCATTCAGGTACAAAGAACGCACATGTTTCACTGCTTTCCTGCATGGTGGATTCAGAAACTTTGCCAGGCAAATGGCAAAAGAATTTGGTTGACCAAAATGTTGCAATTGATGAAGTAAATGTTTTTCTCCATGCCTCTAGATATCCAAACTGTATTCCCTTTCAATGAAAGCCTGTTAGAGTAGTCATCCTGTCCTGACAGAAATGTACTCCGAATGCCATCTTGTTCAGGTCATTACATCACTTACTGCATATGAATACAGATGATACATGAAAATATGTGACATACATGTACATGTATGTACTTACATCCAATTGAAAATTTGGTTCTTCTCTCCACGCCACTAGTGCACTGCATAACCCCTTAAATGTTCTCTGAGACCTACACGTACAGTCAGACTAACTGTAAAAAGTTGACTGTTTAGCTGTTTTTGCCATGAGCCATAAGTCTGGAATCCAGGACTGATAATTACAAACTTTACAAAGTGGTATAAGTCCACTCATGCCATATTGTATAGCCAACATGTAAATGTAAGTTGCCCATGAAATTGACACATTTCATGAAAGTTAAACACTTAGGGACAGTGTTATTTTAGGCCATATCATTTGACTTTCAAAAAAGACAAGCTCCATGGGCCAAATTTTGATGCACAGCTAAACACCACAAATTCTAATTCTAATTCACCACAGTGATTTGAACAGTATGTACAAGAATTTTTAACATCTGGGGCATACATGTACATGTACCTACATGTATGGAACAACCAAGTTGAAGCCCAGTATACATGTAGGTCTGCCACTCTGCCTCACTCTTTAGACTTTGTGCAGACGTGGAAACAAATGGGAGATTAATGCAAGTAGGAGGTGAGTCCAGGCACACTTGGCATTTTAACCTCTCAGTTGTATCTCAATCACAGATACACAGCCAGATATTAAGTACACATCCTATGGTGCTGAGTGGTTAAGTCTGTGACTTACAAAACAAATTATGGTGTAACTTCTGCTGTCATTTTAGGTGGAATAAGTCGCGCCAAACAGATCAGAAATGAAATATTTTATGGGCCTGTGTATTATGATGATGAACTTGTTAATGCTTGCATGAGATACTCGGAACTTCTTACGAGAGTGAGAAAATTGTGAAATTTATTGCCCGGCTCCAATAAAGAAAGACAAAGCAAATCTTTCCAATTCAATGGCTGTTCGATGACCACTGCAAAATGGCAAAAGAACAACCCTCGCATGATCATCCTTGTCCAAGACGTTGAAAATAATTAAAACACGCAGCTACAAATTTTTAAAAAACAATCATAAGTGCATACATGTGCACTGCACAGCTCCACTACAAATTTGTCGCAGGTGGCTTTCGCATGATGCAAAATAACACTCAGGTTTTGTGAAATCAGCTGCAGGTAACTTTCAGTTAAAAATTAAGCTTCTCATTAATTAAGCAGCAGCACTACCACTCAGAAGTGCTGCTTTGTGCTTAAATGGAGCAGGGTGTTTTCTCATATCAATTAATGATCTCCAACAATGAAAGCTGCAGAGTGTGGAATATTTCATGGTTGTCCCTGTTATCTTGCAACAAGTCCAATTAATCACAAGGATCTTTCAATTCTTTCTAGGACTGTCCAAATTGCTGGGTTCAAGCAGAAGTACATGTACATGTATTCAGTTACATGTATGGAGAAGCAAAATTTACTATGAAGATCTCACCCTCACTGCACAAACATTTTCCTTGGTCCCGTTTTGAATAATACATGGTGGCTGAGAAAGTTGGCCTAATTACGAGGGCTGAGATGAAGGTAGGGTAATTTGTGCCCAAGGTGCATGCACAGAAGATAGATCTATCAGGTCAAGGAAACCAATAATAACTATGCACTTTCACAAGGACCATCATTACCACAAGAAGTGTTGTAACATAATTGGTTGTTCATCCCAATGAGCTATCTGATCAAGTGGCTGAGATGTCTGTGCTGGTGAGTAGGTTAGTTTTGGATTAAGAATGCCAAAAGTTCGATGTCTAAAACAATCAGGAGTCAGCAGGTGCGCTAGCAGGCAAAAGATCGACACTTGAAGGTACTTGAAACGACACCAACATGACTTGGTTTTTCGATATTGCTCTTTTCATGGGCGGAACCAGATGCAAATTAATGTATTCAGTTCATGTGTCTGTAAGCAATATTTAATTGGGTTGACCCAAGTTGCTCTTAATTCTATTTGGCTCAATGCGACTCTAGAACACCTGTCTGATACGGGAATTGACGTTTATACCCCTGCCTATGAACTAAAAGCTGTCAATGGGACTGAGATTTTAGTTTTGCAAGACAGGTCTGACATATCGTACTTCATGTTTTCCATCAAAAGATGCTGATATTTCTAATGATAAAACATTGGTGCCGGTATGATAAGGAAAGTAGAAATCTGGGATTTTGTAAACTGACAGCACATTTGAGGAAGATATTTCCCTTGCTATTTCTATTTTAACAAAATAATGTTGGTGTCATCCTCAAAGACTAATTCATTTATGTCATGAGTCATTTTTCCAAGTCAAATCCATTCACAGGTCATTTTGCTCAACCATAAAAGTGACTCAACTCTAACTCAAGTCCAAGTCCATGATTCAAATCATCCAATAACGTTGACTCAAGCAAGTCAAAACACACATGCACCACTTTCAAACACAGAGACAACTTTTCATTGTCACATTGGCACAACTTCTTCCCTCACATCGATCTAATGTTGCTCTCGTAAATTGTCCCAACCACATGTATGAATTTTTCCTGGACAAAGTATAAAGTTGCCTTGCAACTTTATACTCTTCTTTAACCACATGCTGCCCGGTGCTTTTAAAAATACAGTGCACACATACGGGCGATTGTCAGTTTTCAAAATTCTTCCAAAATTCACCACTTCATTTAATTGACGTTCACACCAAAGATCATATAGCACTGCAAAGCAGCGCAAGATGGCAAACTTCACCGTGAGCACACGTTAAACATTGTAATCGCATGGGCGCCATTTGAGCAAGCGATACACCTGCGCAATGCACATTAATGCACAGGCGCAGGCGCCGCGGCAGGCACGTGTACCTGGTGAGCCTACGCCCGAGCATTACCGTAAACTGCGCAGGCGTATCGCTTGCTCAAATGGCGCCCATGGTAATTACACCTTTTGGACAGAGTAATCCATCTTGTGCCTTCGGCGCTATACGATCTTTGGTTTACACCCACACGAATGACTGTTTGGTGGCTAATCTAAACAGGTAACTTTCATTGACTCATGTATATTTCAGCCAGGCCTGACGCCCTATAACGAGAGCCCAGAATTGTGAGTTGTTGCGTAACTTCCTTTGTCCCCAGTGAATGCGAGTGGCATCTTTTCGAATGCGGCTGGATTAGCACGCAGCAGTGCTGTGTCGCTCATCAATGGGGCCCTGGAGCATTTTGTCAGCAGTGCTAATCCGCAGGCGCGCTATGCCCAAAATGGTGGTTTACTGTTTAAAAACAGTGACGGATTACCTTTAAAAAATGCAAGCCAAAAAATGATGGCAATTCCCAGCAGCAGGTCTTTTGTTCCGAGTATAGTCTTTTGTTACATGGACCAGCTCTTTTATCCCACTTTGGGCACCCTGGTTCTGCGTATAAACCCTCAGTGCTCGAAAACGGGGCTCCCCGGCAGCAAGTGATTAATGTACATGTATGAAACTTATTTTACCTGTACATGTACATTCCTATTGGTTTAAATGCTTTGGCAATGTGTACTTTTTATCAAATATTCAAAGTTGTCCACACTTTCCTGGACAACTGAGGGCGCTGTTGCTATTATGCCATCAAGGGAAGACATGGATCAGTGCATAAGTTTTTCTGTTCAAAATGTGAATCCAGAATTAATGCGCTGAAAACATTTCTGAGTAAGGTTACTTGCTTACTTAATGCTACAAACTTACATGCACATAGCAATGAATCACCAAATGAGAGAAAATTTAGTATAAATAGCAAAAAGCAGGAAATACTCAATAAAATAGTGAAACAAAAATTGAAAATGAGACTTTCTGGTACAGAAAGGTCCATATTGGAGGTTTTCATCGAAAAAATTCCACTGTAGAAACCTTCAAATTGCAAATGTGTGACATGATAGTGCTAAAAAGCCAGAGAGATATTCAGATTTCATCCATGCATCACAACAGTCCGACGGTTTCCAAGTCTTTATTTCTACAACCAACAATTGGCTTTTGAACACCAAAGCTTAAAAAATTCCTTCATGAGATGACAAAGCCTAATCCTATAACAGATTCAGGAGGATTAATTACACTGTAGTTCCCCCGCGCCACAACAATGATCAACATCGCCATTGCCGTCATCATCGTTATCAGTTTTAACACAAGGACATTTGAAAAATTTAGATGAATTAACTTAAAAGCTATTATCAAAAGCCACTGAAGCAGACATCCAGCCAGCATCAAAACCTTCCACTGGGTTGTCTTTATGGACTTCAACATTTTACTAAAACTCAAAAATATTTTGGAGCAACCTGTCAATGCAGATCTGTGGAGTGAAACAATGTTTTCATTCCTATCATGTTTGGTAAATTACGATCCAAATTTCCAACTAGAGGAATGTGCTTGTGTCATTTACAAGCACCATGTGTACATGTATGTGTACTTATGTATGTAGGTACTTGGGCTGGGGTAATATATCTCACTGAGGCAAGAATGTAAATATCATTGAAAGAAGGTTTAACAGCACTTACTGAGAAGAGGAAAATAACTCAGTGGATGTCTGAATGGCATGAGTTTACTTGTTACATGTACCGGTAGAAAATGACACAACTTTAGCTTTGATAAAATCTGGTTAAATACCACCGTTTGCACAGTTACATGTCCATCTCTCCTGTTTACATGTACATGTATTTACCTGTAGTGCAGAGGTTTGTGAATGTGGAAAACAGATTTTCCGAAAATAAAGTTTTCTTAATATAAGTATTCCTGGTCAACATTAGTGAAAGTATCATCCTAAATTCAAGTTTGAAAAAAACAAAGTTTGCTTTGCATCTCTAGAGGGAGCCCTTTTTACAAGTCGATGTCATCTTTTGTTTTGTGTACCACTTCTAGCATTTGAGTAGTCTGATTGGTTGTAGGCAAATGCTTTCTTTTTTATATTCATAAGGGCTGCACTTCTGGCAATCTCAGATGTGTAGGTCACATGACTTACATATATATGGAAACCAGAATATTGCCTGAAGTTACACATAACGGTACATCTGCCAGATCGCAAAAGCAAAATGTGAACAGGTGATTTTGTTTTCTTTCAAAGGTACTGGTATTGTTTAGTACCATTGACTTGAGCTCAATCACTTAATAGAGAGCATCCCATAGGGTTATAAAAGATCTACTCACAGTCTCAATGGGATAATTGGTTTGCCCTTGGTCAAAGACATTGATCACACACCTACACATAATGATAATCATTCCTGGGAGTGAAAAGCAAGGTAGTGTACAGTACATGCGGGCTGATCAAGCCCATAATCAGCGACCTTGGAGAGACTGCAGAAGCTTCAACCTGGATTCTTTTCAAATGTTCACGTTGCATGAACTGAGGATATGTCATAAATAATAAACCCTTTCAACAGTATTGCCTGGCATTATTGGATTGGATGACAAACCAGCAATGCATATTGCATACAATCTATGGAATACAAGAAGCAGTAACATTTCTGGAAAATAGTTTCTGCCTTTTTAAATATCCCAAGTCAAGTTATCATGTTTCCGATAATACTGCACTGATGATTTGGAATAAAGTTATTGCAAAAGATCAAATTTTAATGCTTATTAGAAAAAAATCATGACATTTCCAAGATCTAGAGCTAAAACTGCTGTTGCTTCTGAAGCACCTTATGCATCAGCATGCAAAAGTGGTTGCGTGTTCAGGACAGAAAAGTTAAACAAATAAGTGCTAAAAGACTTGCCATAAAGTTGCTTTAGAGTAAATATGCTTTGTCATAGACATGCACATCATACGTGTATTGTACATGTACAGTGTTCTGTACAAAACACGAGCCCTTCAAATAAAAGAGGACCATTTATCCAGACTGGGATATATGATTGTATGGGAATACTGCATACAATGCACATGTACATGTACTTAGCATGTACACTTCCAAAAGTACAGTGAATGCCCACTGCCCAGCACAATGCAGGGGTGTTCCTTGGGTAAAAATTCAGGAGAAGGAGGGACACCTGATGAGCGCACAATTTTTTACAAGGGGGTACCGAATCCAAATGAACAGGCAGCTTGCAAGTACATGCATGTTGTATTCATGTTGAGATTTCAAATATAGTTGACGACAGGGGCACAGCCACTATTCTGCTGGGGGGGGGGCGGAGGAGGCACGTGCTCACTGCTCTAGTAGTTATGCCTTTTTCTTAGACAACTTCTCATTTGCAGATGAGGATTTGCTTCAATGTACGTGTACATGTACTTGCTGGCCTGCTCCAACATCAGTCCCGACTATTATTTTTTCATTTACATGTAGTCATGAAGTTCACATGGCAATTACTTGTTCTGGGAATGAAAGGACAAGCACGTTCTCTTTCAAGATTCCAGAAAAACATTTGACCTGGCCACTCGAACGCTGATAAATCTGAATGGGGCCAGTGGGTTTTGTTTGGCCAGATTATTTGCCTAAGTTACACAGACGCATGCTTTTTAGGGGAGCTGAGAATATGCGAGTAATGTTTCCTTACGGACTACAGGTTAGGGTCAAGGCAAGTGTTGGAACTTTCTAGAAAACAGAGGAAAACTTGGGGGGAGAATACTTGAAAATGCACGGGTAGGAAAATTGACGACAAATAATGAATAATATTGTTCAAAAGTTGTACAGTTTTTGTGGGAAACCTCAAAAGATATTCAGATATACATATGTAAAACCTCTAGGATCCAAAGTACCACATCTTCCAGTCAAGGCTTTCACATACCTGAAGACTACATCCACATATATCTCATTCTCAGCGCGGACGACAGCCGCGGCCCCTTGCGGACCGAAGCGCGTATGGAGGAACGGACGGGGGTGCAACATACTCAGCAGCTTGTGCATGAGCAACTCTCGGTCCACTGCACGAGGGGGGTAGTAGCGGTTGCTGGACAGAGTGTTGCTGAACACATTCAAATTAGACTTGACCAGCTCGTAGACCTGGCCCACAGGCAGGGCGCCCTCGGGTAGGAATGCAGCAAACTCCGGCACGCCGAAGCCCGCCATGGAACGGAAGGGGCTGTTCCATGCATCAAGTCCTGCGAGGCTACCGCTTCCGCCCTAAAAAACCATGAACCAAATAATAGGAGGACTACATTCATTCACTGACAGAAAATGTATCAAGAAAAGTAAATGTCTTTGTGCACATACAAATAACAAGCGGACAAGATACTTTTTCAAAATGTGAAGAGATCATAATCATTGCAAACAAAAACTACTACAAAAAGACAATGGACAACACCTGGATCCAATAAATCTTTCTTACTTCTTGATGCATTAAACACAAATATTGACACATATATGTAATTCATGTGTTAATTTGACTGAGTTAGTGAAATGCAATCAAGTACTCTGTAAATCTGTCATTTTAATAACACTAATAGGTAAAAGTCGGAAACCAAATGGCCCAATAAACACACCGAAGACTGATGGAAAAAACAACTTACACTAAATAAACCCTCCCTTTCCTTGCTCATTGATTCTCGCAGGAGTGGCTGGAAATGAGACTCAATAGAGAGGACCTCCTGCGAGGGGTCAACATCCTGCATGAAGCTATCAAAGTCAACAGGCTGAGGAACACAAATGCAAAGATATCAATCACCAGGAAATATCTGTACTCTGTTGAAGCTCAGAATGTGAAAATAACAGAATGTGTAAAAATAACAGAAATCTTATCAGGAAGAGAACGCCAGTGATACTAAGTGAGAAATTGAAAAGAACAGATCTTCAGTTTTACTTTTGGATTTGAAAATGCATAACTTACTTCTTTCTGCATATTCTTGGGATCATTTGCTAAATTTTTACCCATATTTGGATTCCCAGGACTGAATAATTTAAATGGTACATGTACATGCTTATACATTCAACAATAGCCCACTGGAATGTAATTTGGGTGGGACAGCAAGCATTCACGTGCAGACACATGTTTACTTTAAGGAGGGGTGATTTTGCATATCCACCTACATGTACATTCTAGACTTCAATTAAATTGACACCAAAATACAAAAGACCTGGGTCCAGACTAAGTTGTTTTGGTACAAGGATCTCGAGATTGTGCACATAATACAATTACATGTAACAGAATATATGTGAAGAAATTGTTCTACATGTGTAGGTTTCTGGTGAGATAAAATGCGCTTGTGCTTTGTGATTTTAACTACAGTAGCAGTACACCAGTCTGAAGAAAAGGAGGAAGAGGGGATAACTATACATTTCTCATGAAGTTCAGGTCATGTCTGAATTGAGCATGATGGGGTTATGGTTCCAGTTTTTGCCACTTGTCATGGAGAAGAGCATGTATACCCAAAGACACCGATGCTTAAATCAATACTTTAGACAGAGGCTCCATTACAAACTTTCGAGTATGGATTCACAGCTACTAAGGGTGGAAAGCAATTAAGCATTTAAAAGAAAAATTCCAACTCTGTTAACAGATTTTTCTGTTGTTTTTCTGTCAAAGAGGTTTGATGTTTTGATTGATGTAATCTGGCATTCAATGTTATTATAAACGGTGCCTGTTAAATGTAATCTGATATTGGAACATTTTACTTTCGGGATCTATGCACTTTTTGAAGGAAAAAGTGAATTCTAAAACAATAAACATTGCTTTCATTAAATGCCCAAACTGACATCAATCTACATTTTTAAATTAGTTGGACCATGTGCATTGATGAACTACATAATTA